AACTTTATTTTCTTCATAAAGAACTGAAAAGGTGGCCAGGCACAGAGGCTCACGCCTATAATTTCAGTACTTTGGGAGGCCAAGGCAGGAGGATGGCTTGAGTCCAGGAGTTGGAGACCAGCCTGGGAGCATAGCAATACCTCATGTCTACAAAAAAAAAAAAAAAAAAAAAAAAAAATTAGTTAGGTGTGGTGTTATATACCTGTAGTCCCAGCTACTTGGGAGGGCTAAGATAGAAGTATCGCCTGAGCACAGGAGGTAGAGGCTTCAGTGAGCCATGATCATGTCATTGCACTTTGGATGACAGAGTCAGACCCTGACTCAAAAAACAAAACAAAACAAAACAAAAAAACTGGAAAGGCAATAAGTATAGTGATTAAAAGTCTAGAGTTTGGCATCCTGGCTATATTGCTTTCCAAGTATGTGATCTTGAGAAAGTTACTTTACTTCTTTCAGTCTGTTTCCTCCTATGTAGAAAGGAGATTCATTGTTCAACATTCATTCCTTCAATAAATATTTTTTGAGTACTTTCTTTGTGACCAGCACTGTGTAAGGTACTGGGAATGCAAAGGAGAGTAACACAGACAGAGACCCTCACATACATAGCTTACAATTTAATAATGGACGTGGCTCAGCCTGTAATCCCCCGCTTTGGGAGGCTGAGGTGAGTGGATTGCCTGAGCCCGCGGGTTCGAGACCCGCCTGGGCAACTTGGTGAGCCCTCCTCTCTACAATAAATCAAAATGAGCCGGGCATGGTAGCGCGCGCCTGTAGTTCCAGCTACTGGGAAGGCTGAGGCGGAAGGATCGCCGGAGCCCAGCAGGTGGAGGCTGCGGTGGCCGGGAGCGGCCACTGCACTCCAGTCTGGGCGACAGAGTGAGACTCCAACTCAAAAACAAATAAATAAATAATGGACACAAATAATAAACTCTTGAAGGATGAATAGGCATTACCACATAAAACAACCCCAGAGATGGGCAGAAGCTGGCCTCTTAAGTAAAGAGGTGCCAGTGTGGCTGAACTGAGTACACCAGGTCCCCACTACCTCACAGGTGTTGAAAGATGAAATGAGACAACAAGGTGCTTAGTACAGTGCCTAGCACAGAGAAACATGATGGTCATAGAGATTATACATCTTTCTGGTTTGTTGTGAGACAATGTATAAAGAAATACCGTGTAAACCAGTGGTTCTCAAACTCGAGCATTCATCAGAATTGCCTGGAGGGCTTGTTAAACTGTGAATCGCTGGGGTCCAACCTCCAGCGTTTCTGATTCAGTAGGTCTGGCGTGAAGCCAATACTATGCATTTTTAACAAGTTGCCAGGTGATACTCATGCTGTGGGGTGGGGGTGTGGGGCAGTGCACACAAGTGGAATTTTGAAACTCTGGTGTAAACTGTAAGGTCCCAAATGCCTGTTGATCGAAGTTGAATCTCCCAAAATGGTCAGCGTTAGACTGCACAGAGAAATCTCTCTATAATTATTTGATAACATTTATGATATTTTTGGAGTGAGAACAGGCCCTTGGACACGTCCACCGTTTCATTTAACAGGGGAGGAATTTGAGCACCAAAAGAGGGGGAAGCTGCCCAAGAAATGGGGGGAGCCTAAACTGGAAGACCTTGCTTCTCTAGATCACACTTTTGCTGCATTCTGCCATGAAGGCAGCCGCTGGGAGACGTTTACTCACTTGCATGTGCCTCCCAAGATGATCAATACAACCTGGCTCTCCCTTGTGTGTGCCTTTCCGACTTTAAGATTTTGGCTAAATAAATTGATTGTTGGAATACACATTTTTGAGAGCGAGTCAAAATTATTTAACTTCAATAAAATATATTTTCAAAATACCCCAGCACACGTGCCTATCTTGATTTAAATGGAAGTGAGAACAGATTAGTTCCTCTTTTCTGTTTTTTAAAGGGGTGGGAGCCCCTCTCTCATGGAATTAATAATAATAAATGAAATAATAACAACAAAAATAGCTGACATTATTAGTGTACATCCCGGTCAGGCAATGTGCTTTCCCCTCATCAACTCATTTGATCCTCACCACCATGTTAAGAGGTGGGTTCTATTATCTCCCTGTCACATGCAAAGAATCTAAGGCACAGAAAAGTCTAGTTACTTGACCTGGTCCTAGAGCCAAGAATTGAATTCTAGAGGTAGGGTTTGAATCAAGTCTGATCCCAGAGTTTGGGATCTTAATTGCTTTGATGTGATCATTGATTTCTCAAAAACCCCCAACTAAGATAATTACTGAGCTATTTACAGTTAGTGTTGAAATGAGTAACAGTAACTTGAGAATAGACAGCCCTAGGGGTCAAGAAGATAGATTAAATAACTCTACAGATGAACAGAATCTGTCCTTTGACCAGAAAACCTAACCATAACTTTCATCTTGGTTTAACTATTTCAGGAGTTAACTTTTATCCTGGTTTAACTATTTCAGGAGTTAAGACTGGGAGTAACCCCAAACAGGTTCTAAGCCCCCCCCCATAAACTCCAGTAAGCTGACACATCAAGGGCCTTGAGAAGGAAGGAAACCTCTGTTTAGAATGATAAATCTTCGCTTCTCCTGGGAAAGGGGATGTCCCCCTCAGAGATGAGGGTGCGGGTGGGGGATCTTATTGCTTTAGCTCTTTATTCACGAGCCCTATACTCTACTATTTAGTTCTGCCTGTTAACGTTGCTCCGGGACACCGGGGTAGGAAGGCTGGAGTAGACCCTCTAGGTTAGTTATTCGGGGACATTCTCGCCCCGTTGCTTAGGACGAAGAAGTCCTAATAGAAATCCCGGGACCTTCCTGCTTGCAGATTTTCAAAGATGCCCAGCTATGCTTCCTCCTCATCAACACTCTCCGGCTCCCCCAAAAACTATGCAGAAAAGCTTGCCGGGGCCTGCGGAAAGCGCTGCGCCTGCGAGGCTGGCACGTGTGTCCCCTTCCCTCCCTCGGGGAATGATCCCAGCATTCCTCCCAGTGATGTCAGTGGAATCCTGAGCCGGATCCCGCTCCCCGGGTGGGGGAGGGCAGACGGCGCTCCCGCCAGCTGGGCAGAGCCAGGGTGTCACCCGCGCAGTGGCAGCCCCGGGCCGCGGCGCCCCAGCCCGCCCCCCGCCCCCCGCCCCCCGCCCCCCGCCCCCGGGCGCGCGGTGCCCCCGGCGGCCGCGAGCGCCGCCCCCGCCGACCCTGGACGCTCAGCCCCGGACGCCGCTGGTCCCGGCGGGCGCGGA